AGGAAGAGCATCAGGAGGCGGGTCTGGAAGGGGGTGGGTAGGGCAGGCCCTGGGGGGCTCCCTGGTGCCCAGTGTGGGAGGAGTCAGAGCTCCTGGCCTTGCAGTGGAACGTGCTTGGAGTCCCCGTTCATTAGGTATTTGCCAAGGGCTGGGCTGGTGTCAGGAGTTTGGCTGGAAGCTGCATTACCGTGGAACAACTCAGCCCTGCCCCCAGCACTCTCAGGCTCTTTTCCATGGCCTCGATCACTGTCTTCAGCCCAAGCTGGCCTGGGAGAACGTCCTACTCCCATAGGCCTTGCCCTCAACTCCATCCCTGGGCAGAGCGAAGGCTGAGGTCTCCCAGGTCTAGACCAGAGGCTGCACCACACACTGCTACCCACCTCTCCACCGACAGTTCCCACAGAGAATACAAGCTGCCCCGTGGCGCAAGCCTTGCACAGGTGGTCCCAGCAGCCTGGATTGTCTGCTTTCATGGGACTTAACGGCCCAAGGAATAGGTATATTTGTTAGTGTGATTTTACAGATGAGAAAAAAAAAAAGCAGGAAGCCTGCGTTACCTCGCCAAAGGATGCAACTAGAAGTGAAAGAATTAGTTCAAAGCAGGTCCGCGTACTTACCAAGCCACTGCCCACAGCCAAGCGGTCAGTGTGTGCATGTCCTCCCATGTCCCGAGGCCATGGGAGAAGGAATTCCCAGGGTGTGTGGTTCCCAGGACTGTGACTCGGGTGTGCCCTGAGCCTGCCTCCTGAGTGCAGGCACCTGTTTCTCTTCTGATGAGGCCTCAAGGTCCAGCCCAGACTCAGCCAGAGCCCATTCCTAGTCTGATTTTGCCGAGAAAGAAATCCTCGAGGTCCCTCGGGAGGCAATGAGGGGTCTGCATTGCTGCAGAGACACCTGCTTGTGGTTAGAGCCTCAGCCCCGCACAGCTGGCATCACCACCAACTGGCCCCTCTGCCTCCCAGTGAGCAGTGACGTCTACTCCCAGCGCCAGGTAAGAACTTGTCCTGTGGGCTGGCCCAGGAGGCCTTCGTCACAGGGCCTGGCATGCAGATCCAGGCCATTCTAACTTGAGAAGGGACAGGAGGGCCTGAAGTCAAACTTGGGAGAAAGCCCTGGCCAGGTGGCTCAGTTGGTTGGAATGTTGCCCTGCACACTAAGAGGTTTAGAGTTTGATTCCTGGTTGGGGTACACACTTAGGTTGCCGGTTTGATCTCCGTTCAGGGCCACGTACAGGAGACAACCAATCGATGTTTCTCTCTCTCTCTTTCTCTCTTCCTCTCTCCAAAATCAATAAACATATCCTTGGGTGAGGATTTTCAAAAATAAATAAATACTTAAACTTGGGAAAGAACTGTTCTATAGCGAGGCCTGATTCATTCCAATCCTAGGAAGATCCCCTCAGAAGCACTGCCAGTGCCGCAGGCTGTGACGCCAACCCCCTCTCCACACAGCCTGTCCCCATGGCACAGCCTTGGGGATTTCCTGGCTGAGGAACTGGTCAGTCCAGCCCATCTGGGTAAGGCCTGAGTGTGGAGAAAGTGGCATCTGGGGAGAAGCCAAGATTCTTGCCCAACGGGGAAGCCCTGCTTCCCTTCCACTCTGGCCTGATGTGAGAGTCTCCCTCTTTTGGGGTATCATGCAGGTCAGCTCCTCCCTTGTGAACCGCCAACTATCATTCATTCATATAGTCTTCAAGAACAAAGCAGGCGAGCCCAGTGGTTAAGGGCATGGCCTAGGATCCAGAGTGCCTATGTTCAAATCCAAGTTCTTTACTTACCAGCTGTGGCAACGTATTTACCTCTCTTGAGCCTCGGCTTTCCCATCTGTAAAGTGGGGATGATAGTACCTACCCGACCGCCTCAGGAGGAGGATAAGAAGCGATCATAGATATAAAGCACCCCTGACACAGGTTAAATCCTTCACTAACACTCGATGGGAAGGGGGGATTGTGGGCACTTGGCATTGTTCTTATACCAGGCTGGCGAGATACAGGGTCCCGCACCAATAACGCCTCTTTTTTAAATCACAAACTCTTTTATTACAAAATTATAAGTATGCAATTCTATAACATAACAATATCATACTCAAGCACACATTTTAGGTGAAATGTCCAAATTAAAACTGTAAATTATTACACCCATATTATTCCCCTACTAACCACACTCAAGCAAGCATTACTTCTACCAGACACGTATAGCTAGACCTCTACTTTATAATAACCAAAATTTTATAATCATTGGTTAAACTGTACATTTTTCTGCAATTTCTACATATTTCACAATTTAAAAGTTATAAAACTTTACAAACTTTGTTATCTCATACCCCCCACATCTTTTATTTATTACCTCCTTCATTTTTGTTTATTCCTTTTCTCTTTTAATCATTTGGTCACTCCCTTGTTTCATCTGTGTATGAAAGCAAATCCTGTCTCATCCTGGCAAAAGGCTCTGAGCCTGCAGACTCGGTAAAACATGCGTTCCTTTCACTTCGTACTTCAGATGTCTCTCTGCCAGGGGAGCCGCAGGGAGGCCACCAGGAGGGAAGTGGAAAGGTAGCAGCTGATGGCTCTGGCCGCTGCGGTGGGTGTCCTCCGGACAGGGCAGTCCGGCCAGGCAGTTATGCAAGAGTGGAAAGGCCACTGGGAGGAAGAGAAGGAAGTGCTGAGGGCATCCGGGGCTCAGTATGAGGTCCTGCTCTGCCCTTCCTCTCTCCTTCTGTCCATGAGAACAATGCTGTGGGCCTGGCTCTATGTGGCAACCTCAAGGCAGCATCTGTGGGGCAGCTGCTCCACAGTGAGCCGAAGCCCTATGCTGCCAGGTGCCGCCTTCCTGCCATGAAGTTAAGTGAGAACAGTCATCCATCATATGACCCCATTCAACCCATTCTGTTTTCAACTCTTTATTAAAGTAAAACATACCCACAGAACAGAGCCATAGACAAATCTTCTGTGCCTGGGGCTAGGTTCATTTTCAGAAAGTGAGCACCCTTGTGGAACTAGCATCCTTATCAAGAAAAGGTGCCCTGGCTGGTGTGGCTCAGTGGATTGAGTGCCAGCCTGCAAATAAAGGGCTTGCCAGTCCGATTCCCGATCAGGACATGTGCCTGGGTTGCAGGCCAGGTCCCCAGTGGGGGTTGCATGAGAGGCAGCCACACATTGGTGCTTCTCTTCCTCTCTTTCGCCCTCCCTTCCCCTCTCTCTAAAAATAAATAAATAACATCTTTACAAAAAAAAGACAAGACCATCACCTGCTGCCTCCTGCTCCCCTCCAGTCACTACCAGCCCCCACCCTCGCCCCAGGTCACCCTGGCTGCCAACTCCACGGACTGGCTTGAGCAGTTTGGGGCTTGGGACAAACATTCTGCAGGGGTGCTTTGTGTCTGCCTTCTCTCCCACCACGTGTGTCTGGAAGGTTCACCCATGTGTGCGGCCATTCCTTTTCACTGTTGTGTAGTGTATCCTTCTATGTTGGAAGATCCTGGATACATAAATGGAAATGACCAGAGAAAGGACCTGCAAGGCTTGTCACACCCAGGGTGACCTCCTGGGGTGGCGGGGGGGGGGGCAGCAGTAACGGGAGGGGATCTCCCAAGCAAATCTTTCTGAGCCAGACGCCAACCCTCTGCCCCGATAGTCCAGGGGGACCCACAGCCATGAGTACTTCCGTTGCAAACTGCCTTGCCATGTCTCTCAGCCTTGCAGTCTTCCCCTGGGCCACACCCCGTGCCTCCCCACCTGAGCCTGCAGCCAGGCTGCCAGGGTCTGAGCCACTGGCTGTGTGCTCTGGAACCAGCTCCATAACTTCTGAGCCTTCCAGGCCCCCATCTGCCTGGTCCTAGTGCCCCAGGTTTTAGTGCGACGGGCCTCAGCCTCTGTTCAGGCACGCTGCCCCCCTCTGCCCCTCTTCCTCCCAATCCCCTTTTGAGCAGAGATGGCAGAGAGGATAGTCCCCATTTCACTCAGAAGGAAGCTGAGTCAGCTCTTAGGGTCTTTTATTATTATTTTTTAATTTATTGATGTTAGAGAGAGAGTGACATCCACTTGTTCAGCCCATTCACTCAGTCAGTGACTGACTCCTGCCTGTGCCGGACAGGGCATGGCACCCACAACCTTTGGTGTATCCAGAGGGCAGTCCAACCAAGCTACCCAGCAGGGGCCTAAGGGTCTGTTTCCTTTTAAGGTTTTATTTACTTATTTTCTGAGACAGGGGAAGGGAGGGAGAGAGGGAGAGAGACATCGATGGGTTGCCTCTCCCACGTGCCCGACCAACCCCACATGTGCCCTGACTGACCTCTACCGCGCACCTTTCACTTGGCGGAACCACGCTCAACCCAATGAGTCCCACCCGCCAAGGCTGAGGGTCTGTTCTTTGATCAGCGTTTGAACTCAGCTTAGAAAGCCCGTCCCAGCTTTGGGTGCTGAAGCAGGCCAAGCCCTTGCTCTCCTGAGGCTCACACTCTGGTAAGGAGAAACATCGTAAACAAGTAAAATAAGTAATATGTCAGTTGCCGTGAGTACTCGGAATAAAGGCAGGTAAGCAGCATGGCGGAAGCATGGCGTTGGCTGTTTTCTGTGTAGTTATCATGGAAGTCCTCTCACAGGGCGCGCCATCTGAGCAGAAACGCAGAGAAAGGGCGGGAGGGAGTTACCGACAGATCTGCGGGAGAAGGCGGCCCAGGTGTGCCAGGGGCCGCCGCGAGGCCGCTCGGGGCAGGGCGGGGCGGGGGACAGGGAGAGCCACGAGGAGAGGGGCGGTAGATGGAATCCCCCGACCTGCGAGGCACCGTGAGAAGGGCAAGCCAAGCTTGTCCTCGCACGCACGCGTGTGTGAGGCTGTCCACATCCACGTGGCGGGAGCCTGAGGAGTCCCAGAAACTGAAAGGAGGAAGCCCTTTCTTCCCCCTCCCGTGCTCACAGTCCCCAGCAGCGACTTCCTCTTTCCAGACCATTTAAGGCCCAGCCCGGGGGCGCCCCGACAAGTGTGGCCGCGCACAGTCCTGCCATGGAGGGCACCTTCATCCGCCACATCGTCCTCCTGGGCTTCGAGAAGCGCTTCGTCCCCAGCCAGCACTACGTGAGTAGCGGGCGCGCCCTGCAGCGCGCCTGGACGGGCCCGGGCAGGCGCGCGGGGCCACGCAGCGCCCCCCTAGGACCACCGCCGGAGACCCGGGCTCCCGGGAGGGCGAAATCGTGGGCAAACGGCTCCCTATCTTTGGGCCCCAGTCTGTCCGTCTGGGTCCGCAGTGGATGTGGGTCCTTAAAAGGGAGCGCGCCCTGGCACCACGGCCCCGCCAGCCCACCTCACTCCCGGCTCTCCAGCCCCAGCCAGGAGGCCAGTCTCCACTCCCTGTAGTATCCTTCCCGGCCGCCAGCCGGCGCTCAGGTCCGGACGCACTCCTCCACGCAGCCCTCCCGGACCATCCCAGCTCTTAGGGAGTGGTCCTCCCTAAGGGAGAGGGGGCGGGGGACGCGGGGGCAGAGGGCGGAGGCCCTTCTGTTCCCCTAGCCGCTTGTGGGGTCAGTTACCTGAGTCATATCCCTTCCAGTAGGGTGAAACCACCCGGGGGGCAGGGGCGGGGAATTCCCCCCTCCTGCCTCTGAGGAGCTGGGGAAGTGTCTGCCCAGACATGGCACCCCACCATAGTGTCCCCAAGCCCAGAGGAAGACAAGGGAGGATATCCAGTCTCTCTCTCTTTCCTCCTCTTCCCCCCTCTCCTTCTCTTCCCCCATCTTTCCCTCTCCCTCTACTCTTTCCTCTCTCACACCTTCTTTCTCTGAATATACATTTTCTGAAACATTTGAGACCAAATTGGAGAAGTTTTTTCTTAACCTCTAAATACCATGTTATTTCTTAAAATCAGTGACATTCTCTTACATGACCACAATGCAAACGTGTCAAAATTAGGAAATTCACGTTGATAAAACACTGTTATTCAACTCACAGACATTATTTAGATTTTACCCTTTGTCCTACTTGTTCTCTGTAGTAATATTTCAGGCCCAGGATCCAATCCAAGATCCTCTGTTGCATTTCAGTTGTCATGCCTCTTTAGCCTTCCTTCATCTGGATCAGTCTTAGTCTTGCTTTGTCCTCTCAACTTAGGCATTTTGAAGAGATGGGACCAATTGTTCTGTAGACTGTTCCTTGATTTGGGTTCATTGATGCTTCATTAGCTTCAGATTGTGCATAAATGGCAGGAATACTCCAGAAGAGATCCTATGCTTTTCTCATTGATCCTATCAGGTGGCATGAGATTGTGAATTGTTCCCCATATTGGTGATGTTAACTTTGATCCACTAAGTCCTAGACATGCCCTACAAGTATCTCTGATGTAAAGTTAGTATAGTTCCCCTTTGTAATAAGCAAATAAACTGTGGGGAGATTATTTCAAGTAGGAATATCCTGTTCTTTATAGTAGTTGATGGCTCTTGCCTGAATCAAATTACTATAATGATTGTTTTTCTTTAAATGGTCACCAGAGGACATGCCCACTGATTTAAAAGAGAGAGGAAGGGAGAAAGAGAGGGAGAAAAACATCAGTGTGAGAGAGAGACATCAATAGGTTGCCTCTCCTTTCTGGCTGGGAAGGAACCTGCAACCAAGGCATGTGCCCTGACCCAGATTTGAACCTACTGGATGGATATCAAATCTGCGACCTTTTGGTTTATGGGCAAAGCTCCAGTCAACTGAGGCACACTGGCCAGGACGCCAGATAGTGATTTTTAAACTCAATCATTCCTTCTGCATTTATTACTCAACATTTTACTGTAAGGGTCTTTCCTTCTCCCTTATTTATTTACTTCTGTCCATATGGATCCATGGATTCTGATTTTATTCAATGGGTTATAATCCATTATATCATGACTTACTTTTGATGCTCAGATTGTCCCAGATTTGGCCAGTGGGCGCTCCTCCAAGCTGGCTTCTGTGCCTGTCATTCTTTGAGCACATCCTTTTGGCACAGGATGATCCATGCTTACTCGCCCACCTCCCCCAGCCTTGGACCCAGACGTTTTGCTAAAGACCCCTGATTCTTTTCAGTGAGAGTGGTATTAGAACCCAAGATCTGGAAGCTAGGTGTGCTCATTGTCACTGAGATGTCATCGCTCATGTCCTTCCAGTGGACAGACTGGGGAAAATTGCCATTTCATATCATTCTTGCCTTTCATCAATTTATATTTGTAGCTCCGTTCTCTCACCCAAGAAGCCTGGCTCCCAACAAAATCAACATATTTACTCCTTTGCTCAATTCTGCAATACTCATAAACTTGTTTCAGGATCTCTACGCCCACACCACTATTAACAATAAACCTGCTAATCTATTAAGTCAAATTTAAGGTTTCTTTGCCATTTTTCTGGTCCATTTATCTTCAGACTGAGAGGAGTGAAAGTACTGTAGCTAAAAGTTACTTGGATTCTTTCTTTTTCATTTCTTTTTAATATGATCATTACCCATTTGATTTACTGGTAAATTTGTTTCTGTTTCTAACTTCGAAGTTAAAGAAAAATCCTTGTTGATTGAACTTTTGGCATTTTAATTATGATGTGTCTTGGTGTGGGTCTCTTTCAGTTCATCTTGCTTGGGACTCTCTGGGCTTCCTGGACCTGGATGTCTGTTTCCTTCATCAGGCTGGGGAAGTTTTCAGCCATTATTTCTTTAAATAGGCTTTCTATCTCTTTCTTGTTCTCTTCTCCTTCTGGGACCCCTATGATTTAAATGTTAGTATGCTTTGATGTTATCCAAGGCATCTCTTCAACTACCCTAATATTAAAACAATTCTTTATTCTTTTTGCTGTTCTGAAAAGGTGATTTCCACCTCCTTGCCTTCTGGCGTGTCAACTCATTATTCTGCATCAACTAATTTGTTGTTGACTTCTAATGTGTTCTTCACTTCAGTTATTATATTCTTCATTTCTGACTGGTTCTTTTTTGTGATTTCTCTCTCTTTATGAAATTTCTCAGTGAGTTCATCTACTCTTCTCCTGAGTTCATTGAGCATCCTTATAACTAGTATTTTGAAACTCTTTATCTGATAGATCGCTTGTTTCTTTCATTTAGTTCTTTTTCTGGGGGTTTGTCTTGGTCTTTCATTTGGAAGATATTTCTCTGCTCATTTTGGCTGTCTCTCTGTTTTTGTTTCTATGAATTAGGTGAAACAGCAACGTCTCCTGGTCTTGAAGGAGTGACCTTGTGTAGGGGCTACCCCTTTGTAGGACTGTGTGTGCCGGGTGTCCTTGGCAGGCCCGCTGGAGCGGGAGTGTTCGCGGGCCTAAGGGAGTCCCAGGAGCCAACTTCACTGGGGCCTGGGGCTATAGGTGGAATAGGCACATGGGCCAAGGAACGTCACAGGGGCAGGCTGCACCAGGACTGCCTTGGCAGGCAGGTAGGAGTTGTAGTCGGAGTGGGCTCAGGCTTTAGTTAGGCCCCAGGGGCAAGATGAACCTGGGCCTGGAGCTGAAGCTGGAGTTGGGGTGAGCCCCAGGGGCTGTAGCTGAAGTGGCATTTCCTACAGCAAGTCCAGGGGACAAGCCACATGTGGGCAGAACCTGTAGCTAGGGCAGGCGTGAAGCTGAGGGGAGTCCCAGAGGCAAGCAGCACAGGACTGCCCTGCCAGGCCAGCTGGAACTGGGCGCTGGAGCCGGCTGGCTGTGGGGAGTCCCTGGGGACAAGCAGCAGAGCTGCTGGGGGCTGGGGTGCACTGGGACAGCCTTGGCCTGCGGCTAGAGCGCCTGGATCATTAGGAGGGGGCGCAAGCGGCACTCTGTTGCCTCCAACTCCAGAGAGTACCCGCAGTTCCTCTGCCACTTAGCAAATGCTCTAGGGTTATTAAATAGATTTCCTTCCTCTACAGCCTAGATGTCCTTCTAGATCACTGTTATTAAGCTATGCCCAAGGGCAGGCGACTGCAGGATGTGTGTTGGGTGGGTTGCCCACAACGTGCCTGTCTCCTGCGCTCCTGTCTGTTTCTGTGTAGTCTCTGTCATTTGTTGTGCAGAAGCTATTCAGCCCTGTTTTCCTTCAGGAAATCACTTTATCTATAGGTATAAATTCAATGTATTCCTGGGAGGAGGTGAGTTCAACATCTTCCTACACTGCCACCTTGGACCTGAAGCCCCTCCTTATTGATTTAAGTTTATTTTTAAATATGTAAATTATCCACATGTGATCAGACATCAAAACTTTGTAAGAATAAACTCAAAGACTCATTCTAGTTCATCTTTTCTGTATTTCTCTTTACAAAAATAAGTGCATATACATACACACACATATATACTTATTTTTGTGTATATATACATATATACATATATGTATACATAAGGGGGGACCCTAAAAAGACCGGAACTATCTTTGGAGGGCCAGCTCCTTGTAGTACAGGCTTCCCCCGCTAGGTGAGTGTTCTAGGAACACAGCTGTATCAGTGCACCAGCTGCCCTTGTTGTGAGAAGCTGCGTTTGGCTTCAGTGAATTTTTTTAAGACTCTTTCGGTGCGGCTGCCCATTTCATGATGGGTGATTTACAAGTGCACCTGCCCACATGGCACTGAGTGTATAGCAGTTTTTGACACAAAACGGCATGACCTCCATGCCCTACCTTCCCTATTCACCTGATCTCACCCTGAGCAACTTTGTTTTGATTCCCTGAATGAAAAAAGTCTTCAAAGGGAAACATTTTGCCAATGTGGAAGAGGTGAAACAAAAAATGGCAGAAGCACTAAAAGGCGTCAAAAAAGATGAGTTCAAAAACTGTTTTGAGCAGCGGAATAAAGTCTCGGTACGTGTATTACATCAAATGGAGAGTACCTTGAAGGTGACTGAAGTTGTTTTGTTTTGTTTTTAAAGATTTAATTTATTTTTAGAGAGAGGGGAAGGGAGTGAGAAAGAGGGAAAGAAACATCAATGTGTGGTTGCCTCTCGTGTGCCCCCAACTGGGGACCTGGCCCGCAATCCAGGCAGGTGCTCTGACTGGGAATTGAACCAGCGACCCTTTGGTTCGCAGACCAACACTCAGTCCACTGAACCACACCAGTCATGGCTGAAGGGGACTGAAGTTTAACATGTAAGAATAAATATATTTTTTATAAGTAAGTTCCGGTTTTGGGGGGGTTCCCCCTCATATATGGAACTATACAATACCTTCCAGTGTTCTTGTATTGCCTGGGTCCAGCCCTTTCTGCATCTAATCTCCTGTAACTCTCTCCTACCAGCCCTGGGGGAGGTCCTACTTTTATCTCCAATGGCAGGTGAGGAATTTGAGTTAATATGAGAGAGGTTGGTCATCTTGTCCCGGGTCCTAAAGCTGGAGAGTGGCAGCTCCGGGGTCCATGAAGTTCGTGCCCTTTCTGTGGCCCAGGTCGCCCTAAAGAGCGCTCCACCCCCTGTCCTTCTGGCTTCCACCAGCGGGTGCGGCGCAGCCCCGGGAGCATGGCCACGCCCCCTTGGAAGCTGAGCTAGGTCCTCCCACCCCCAGGTGTACATGTTCCTGGTGAAGTGGCAGGACCTGTCTGAGAAGGTGGTCTACCGGCGGTTCACGGAGATCTATGAGTTCCACGTGAGTGTCCGGTGGGCAGGGGTCAGGGAGGGGACCCCCACCCAGTCCCAGCTCTGCCTTTTGGGGAGGAGAGCCACCCAGGTGCCGACTGGGTGTGAGGAGCCCCGGGGTCTGCCCGCAGCAGCCCACAGTTAAGGGGACATTTTTTAAACTTTAAGAAACACTTTCCTTAATATATTTTTTATTGTGGTAAAATATACTGTGCATTAAATATATTCACAGTGTCGTGTGTCGGTCACGACCATCCAAAACATTTTCACCTTCCCACACAGAAACGCTGTACCCATTTGACACGGACTCAAAGGGGCATTATTTAGGGCCATGCTCTGTCCCTGCAGGGGCACGGCCTGGCCAGTGTCAGCACCACGGCCGTCCCCCCGGGAGCTTGCCTTTTCGCTCATGGTCAATGGCCTGCCGAGGACTGCCAGGGGGTCAGGAGGAGGGCTGAGAAGCCTGACACTCAAGAAACTGGGACCTTTTTTTTGTGGGTGTCGGCTGTCATCAAGTTTTACGTGAGCAAATGCAATGGCTCTAAAACCTCATAGGATCCCCACACCAGCCACTGGTGGGACAGAACTGGGGGTGGTTTCCCCGGGGTCATGCTGTGCAGAGCTCAGCTGCCTGGTCCTGGTCTGAGACACGTGGATGGAGGGACCGCGAAAGCCAGATGGGTCCCCCCAAGAGCCCATTCCATACGCACGGCCCTTCCTAGCCAGGGAGGGAGCCGGACTCTGCGGCTTCCTGCATTTCTCTTGTGAGGAGCATTTAAAACAAAATGCAGATAAATGTGAAGAAGACTCTAACCAGCCCCGGACACCCAGCACCTCGCATCGCAGCTGATGTCATGGGCTATTTGCTACAAAGCTTTTTTAGATATAAGCAAAACAAAATGTTACCAAAGAAGTGGAAGGCCCCTTGCATCCCATACCTTGTCCCAGCTTCCATCCTGGGTGACTGGGCACACACACCCAGCTCAAGAGCCATGTGTGGTAGTGTTGAGGGTGCACTGTCTGCAGTCTATATAAAAGCCACCCGTATGCCACTGGCTTCCTAGGCTATGTTTTTGAGATCTGTCCTTGATGATCAGTGTGTGGCTCCATCTCACCCTTTTAAGCTGTTCTGAGTTACTTCATTGTAGGATTAGCCCCTTTTATTCATGGGTGGGCTCATTCATTCAACAACTATTTATTGAGCCCCACCTGCATGCCAGGCATGCTGTGTTTGGTGAGCAGGAAACACTATTGAAGGTGATAAGGGTACAAACAACGGATGGGTGCAAATCCTTGCGTGCCCTTGTAACCTTAAGTTCTAGTAGAGAAGTCAGGATAACAGACAAAAACAAGTAATTTATGCCGTGCGCTAGATGGTCATTAGAACAATGGGGAAAAATAAAGCAGGGAGGAGAAGAGGACGATTGGGTGGGGAAGGAGGGGCAATTGTCAAAGACAAGGCTTAAATGCGGGGGGCGGGGTGGTGGTGATATCTGAGCAAAGACTTGAAGAAGGGGAGGGAAAGAGAGAGCACCATTGATATATGTAGAGAAAGGATGGGAATAGCAAGTGCAAACACCCTGGGGCAGGAGTGGGCCTGGGGTATTGAAGGTTGGCTGGAGCAGAGTGAACAACGGGGACATTGGTGGCAGAAGGGCGAGTGAGGTGGGCAGGGCCAAGTCTAGTGGCGCCTTGTTGACCCACACGAGGCCTTTGGCTTCCACTGTTAGTGAGCTGAGAGGCAGGGAGGAGAGGAGTCCAATGTAGCTTTTAAGAGGCCCCCTCTGGATGCTGGATTGAGGACAGACTAGGGTAGAAGCAGGGAATGACCTAAGAGAGTTGTAAAATCCAGGCCTTGTGGAAGCTCGGACAAGCATTGGGTGTAGTGTGAAGAGTCAGATTCTGGATAGACATTTGGAGTAGAACTGAAAGGGTTTGCTGGTGGCTGGATGTGAGGAGGGAGGGAAAGAGAGGAGTCGGGGATGCCTCCAGAAGTTTGTAGCCTGACCAATTAGGAGGGCATTTAGGTTGTTTCCAATGTGCTTTTACAGTGTTGTAATGAAAAAATATTCTTTTCTGTCTTTTTTGCTGTCTAGAAAACCTTAAAGGAATTGTTTCCTATTGAGGCAGGGGACATCAACCCAGAGAGCAGAATCATCCCCCACCTGCCAGGTGAGGGGCTGAGTCACCTGGGCGGGGTTACTTGTCCTGGCTCCCCTCACTTGCGCTTCAAGCTGCCCCCTCCTCCCCCGCCCCTTCTTGGACTTGACCTCAAGGATGTGCTCCCTGTTTCTCTGGTGCCCCTCCCTGGTCCTCTCAGCACCAAGGTGGTTTGATGGGCAGCGGAAAACTGAGAGCCGCCAGGGTACGCTCACCGAGTACTGCAACACGCTCATGGCCCTGCCGGTCAAGATCTCCCGCTGCCCACACCTCCTTGAGTTCTTCAAGGTGCGCCCCGACGACCTCAAGCTCCCCACGGACAGCCAGTGAGTGACTTCCTTGTCTTGTTCGGAGGCAGGTGGGAGAAAATGTGGGGTGGTAAACCCCACCCCAGATGGGGGCTGGACTTCCCCGTGTTGCAGATGAGGAGGCTGAAGCTCAGAGAGGGGAAGCAACTTGCCCAAAGGTGCACAGCCAGAAAGAGGAGGAGGCAAGATCCCAACTCTCACCCATGTGACCTCTAACCACTGACCATCCTTTCCAAGTCTCCGCTTGGACCCCTCTGAGTCTTATGGCCGCAGGAGGCATGGGGTGGGCGGGAGCAGGGTCTGAAAGCCTTCTGAATGCTGTTTATCCGTGTGTGACGGGGTGGTGAGCGCCAAATGCAGTCCCGAGCGTGTTTACAGTGGTGGAGTGCCAGAGGGTGTGGGGGTCTGGCGGCCCCTGTTAATTGCCGAACACTTCTCAGGCCGCTGGCTCCCTTTGGTCACCTCATTCTCTGCCTGCCCCCTGCCCCAGAGGTCTCCTGTCCTCAGGCCCCTGCATGGACGTCATCTGAGAGGCTAAGATCTCAGGGGAACAGTCTGGGAAGGTTCCCTCTCTGGACACTGAATATGGGGACGACCAAAGGACGGGGCTGCCGTAGACAATCGTTCCAGCCAGTGTTTACGGGCCCCTGGCTCACCCTGATGCGGGGCTGGGCAGCTCCCATCAGCTCTGGGTCTAGAGGCGTGGAGGCCCCCACCTCCCATTGGCCGCTCTCCCCAGGCTCCAGAGGGGAGGTGGCCCCGGAGCTGTCGGGAGCCTCTCCCAGATCCCGTGCGCCAGGGCAGGAGGCTCTTGCTCTTTTCACAGCTGGCGCCTTCTCCTTGGGGTCCTCTCCTCAGGCTGGCATAACAGCCACCCCGCAGACCCCCATGCCCCTTCTCTCTGCAGTGGCCCTTTCCCACATTCCTTTTCCTTGTGGGAAGTTCTGTAGGTCCACTGGGAGCGTCCCATTTCCCGGGGGAAAGCTAAGCGTCTAACCCACACCGTTCTCTCTTGCAGGGCGAAAAAGCCGGAGACTTACCTAGTGCCTAAAGATGGCAAGACTAATGTTGCAGGTGAGAGGGCCGGGGGCAGCCCGTGCAGGTCACCCTAAGGCGGTCAGGGACCTGAGCTCAGGGTGTACAGGGCAAAGAGCAGGAGGTAAGAGCCGTGGTGAAGGCACTTCCCTTGCCCTCGTGGCTGCAGAGACCAGCACAGACGCTGGGGATGCGATGGCTGAATGAATGAACAGGTTCGGGGCAAAGGTGGCCTTCAGGGGTGACACAGCAGTGTCTTATCCAGCTCTGGCTGCCATAACAGTACCACAGGCTGGGTGGCTTGAACAGCAAATGCTTATTTCTCACAATTCTGGAGGCTGGAAGTCTGAGATCAAGGTGTGAGAGCTGGTTTCTGCTGAGGCCTCTCTCCTGGGCTCGCAGACAGCTGCCTTCTCGCCGTGCCCTCACATGGCCCTTCCTCTGCACACACATCCCTGGTGTCTCTTCCTCTTCCGATAAACACTCCAGTCCTGTTGGATCAGGGCTCCGCCTTTATGACCTCAGTTAACCTCAATCATTTCCTCAAAGGCTCTGTCTCCAAATACAGGTAGATTCCAGAGTACTGGGGGTTAGGGCTTCAGTGTGAGAGTTCAGGGGGTGGGGGCACAATTCAGCCCACAACGTGGCACCAGCAGCTGCATCATCAGGGGGCTGGTTGAAGACGCAGACTCTCTGGTCTCCCCATAGACCTGTGTAGAATCAGAAACTCATTTCAGTTTGATCCCTGGGTGATTTGTGTGCAATTAAAGTTGAGGAGGGCTGCTCACTAACCTCATCCAATGAGGGAGAGTGTGCAAAGTGTGTGACTAGTGTCTGGAACACACTAGGCGCTCCCCAATGCAGGGCTGCGCAGCTCTTCTCTGCTGCGTTCCCGGTTGCAGGGCGCACCCGCCTGTGGCGTGCCTGGAGCTGGCGGGGATGGGACGCCAGTGCCAGTCCGGTGGCCCCACAGGGAGAGCCGGGGGAGGCAGCGCACCCCCAGAGCATCCGCTCACCCTGTGCTCCCTCTGCCCAGACATCACAGGCCCCATCATCCTGCAGACGTACCGGGCCATCGCCGACTATGAGAAGAGCTCGGGCTCCGAGATGTCTCTGGCTGCGGGCGATGTGGTGGACGTCGTGGAGAAGGGCGAGAGCGGTCAGCCTCCTGCCCTGCCTGGACCTCCCTCCCCTGCTGCTTGGGCCCATGGCCACAAGCCCCCCCGCCAAGCCTCTGCCCCGGGGCGCTGACTGTCCTCCCCACACTGCGGGTCACCCTGTCTCTGAGCGTGCGCTCGGGGGCCGCTGTGGGTATCTGCACACGTGGCCGGCTTCGCTGCACGTCTCGGGGGGTCATATCCGGGTGGGCAGGCCGACTCGTCGTTGTGTGTGTGAAGTGGGTTCCAAACTGTGATTCTGTGACCCTGTGTGTGTGGGTGGGTGAGACTTCAGTGTGGAGTGTGGCGAAGGTGACATTTCTGAGCCTGAGCGTTGGACGCCTGTGTGTCTGAGTCTTCCCCGCCCCGTGGCTGAGGGAGGCTGCCAGGCCTGCCCTGACGGACTGCCTCACACCCTGGGCGCAGGCTGGTGGTTCTGCCAAATGAAGACAAAGCGAGGCTGGGTCCCGGCCTCCTACTTGGAGCCCCTGGACAGTCCCGACGAGGCAGAGGACCCAGAGCCCAACTATGAAGGTACCCCTTATCCTCCATGGCCACAGGGGTGTGGCAGGAAGGGGTGGGAGGGGCCTGGGGATATTGAGAAGCCAGAAGGGACTGCTTCGGGGTGGGACATCATGGGGGCTGGGCAGAGGGGGAGTCAGAGCTGAGATCTCCCACTTTGTCTTGGAGGCTCTGGTAGGAGGTGGTCAGGGAACCAGGAGGAGGAATGAGGTGGGGGTGATGCCGTCAGCCTGGGACGCTCACATGGGTTGTTGACTGTGGGGCAGTTGACGGGGGCCAGGTCTCAGGGAGGCTGAATGGCGAGTAGACCCTGAGGCTCAGGAAGGAGGGCTGCCTGCAGGAGGGGACATCACTGCCAGCTAGAGGGGAAAGCTGGCAGCCCCCAGGCTGAATGGGGCTCTAGTGGAGTTTGAAAAAAAATCAGAATTGGCTCCCCATATTTCAAAATGGAGAGATTTCACCATTTTATGTGGGTTTATGGGTCCTCTTTAAAAACTGGGAAAAGTGTGTACACTGGGCCTGCAGCCCTGTGCTCAATGTGGGCTGGAGTTAGTGGCTTGGTTGCCACTGACCAACCAACCAGGTGGGGGGGCACCCCACCCCCACACTTCCTGCGGGCCCACTTCTCTGGGTAGATGCCTGACCAAAGCTTTGAAGTCATGGGAGCTCCTGGCCCCTGGTGTGGATTGTGGTGGGTGGGAGTGGGTCAAGAGGGCAGAGAGGGCAGAACTCCAGGACGCCCCCACGTGAGGCCGGGAGGAGCCTGCAGGAGGAGACCAAGTAGGACCTGCTGGAGGAAGCCCCAGGCCCAGAGCGGAGAGGCAGGGTGCTGAGTCCTGTGCTGGGCAGATGCTCACACCAGGCCCCTCCCCGTCACTGTGCACCAGGTGAGCCCTACGTCGCCATCAAAGCCTACACTGCCTTATTGGAGGATGAGGTGTCCCTCCAGGAAGGTGAAACCATCGAGGTCATTCATAAGCTCTTGGACGGCTGGTGGGTCATCAGGTAAGAGAGCACCCCTCCCTCCCAGTGCGCCAGCCCTGGCCCCGGGCAGGGCCTGTTTGGGATCTGGGCTGACTTGCTTGCTGCTCGGCCATGTGACACGGGGTAAGCACCTCTCGGGGCTCAGTTTCCATTATGGTAGCAGATGAGTGATAATCCCACCCTTCCTGTTATGGGTTCAGTGTCCTCATCAGAGTGGGTACATTTTTCCTTTGTTACTTGGGGTCACTTACCCTGACCAGTCCATCTATTAGCCCTTCTTCAGCAACATAACTGTTTTGTATTAATTATTATGTTTGATAACTGACCCTTCATCCCTTTTCCTTTTAAATCTTTCACTGAAATTCCATATTAATTTTCCCCGCAGTTCTGGGGAAAGCAGAGACATATCCCTGGAGCCGGTGGGCCTCTCCAGGTCCCTGCACAATGCTTTCGGGCCCTTGGGTCACAGACCAGTGCATGACCCTGGTGAGCTTGTGGCCGTAACAACCATCCTCTGCATGGGTCTGGGCTGGAGGCTCTGAGACAGGGTTTCTCACCCTTCTAGACTCACATTTAACCCCTATCATGCACCCCTGAGAATCTGCTTGTGATCCTTCCACCAGCCAAGAAGAATCAGAGTTTTACCAAGTAAACTTTGTATTATGTAAAAATTTTTTTCACTCCCAAATACAATAGTGAGACTGGGAAAAAAAAATCTGTTCAACAACTGGATATCCATATGGAAGAAAAAACCCCACTGAGACCCCTACTTCATACCATTCACATTTATTTTGGCTGGATCACAGGTTTTTCCAAGCACAAAAAGCTTTTGGAAGAAAGCATAGGAGAAGTTGGTGCATGGAGTTGAGCAAAGGTTTCTTAGTACACACAAGGTAATCACCATAAAAGAAAAATGGATAAATACAATATTTGAAGATGTTTTATAGTAAACACACGTCCCTGGAGAGATTTGGATTTGCTAATTTCCTCCCCTAACGTCACAGCTGGTAGGGCCTGTGTTGCACAGATGTGGAAACTGAGGCCCAGAGAGGCAGGGTCTGGTGTTGGCCAGGTGGGTGTCTGCAACCTCCCAGCTGCCTTATCCAGCTGTTTAGCGGGGACCCTGATCTTCCCACTTCTCTGGCTTCTATCTCTGCTGCAGGAAAGGTGATGTCACAGGCTACTTCCCATCCATGTACCTGCAGAAGGCCGGGCAGGACATAGCCCAGGCCCAAAGCCGGATCAAGAGCCGAGGGGCACCGCCCCGGAGGTGAGTCCTTGGGGTTGGGGTATACCACGGGTTCCCTCGGTCTGTCCTGGATTGGCAGGCCAGGGTAGGGGCTCTGAGCCTGGCAGGGAAGGCAGCGCTGAGTCAAGAGTCTGGACATCCTCCCCTACCCCGCGCTGTGGCGCTTGCACCGGCTTGGTAGGAAAGCAGGGGTGTGAGGTGGAGGTGAAGGCGTTGATGCCCAGAGTCTTTGGGGATGGTCCGCGAGGGCTGTGGCAGTCCGGAGGGCTTCCTGGGGGGTGGGGGGTGGAGCTGGTTGAGGGCTGGCGAGGGGCGTGGGAAATGGACTTGGGCTCTGAGGCACCGTAAAGGCCCGCGTCGCCGAAGGGCAGCCGCATTCAGGCCGTGCCCAACCTTCCCACCCCTACCGCCACGTTCCCCTGCCGTTCCCCACTTCCTCGGGGCTGTAGCTGGACCCCAGAGGTGACCATGCGAGTTCTCGCGGGCAGGGACGCAGCCGCTTCGGGGCGGCGGGGATGCCGCGACGATGACCAATGTCCCCGTTCTGTTGGGTCCAGGTCATCAATTCGCAACGCGCAAAGCATCCACCAGCGATCACGAAAGCGCCTCAGCCAAGACACCTATCGGCGCAACAGCGTCCGCTTTATGCAGCAGCGCCGCCGCCAGGCGCGGCCAGGGCCGCAGAGCGCAGGGAGCTCGCTGGGTGAGTGCGGTATCCGTCCTTGGGGCGGGGCAGGGCGGGGCCACCTTGGTCCTAACGGAGAGCGGTGCGATCCTGCCGGGCCAGGGGAGGAGAGGTGGGGCAGGGAGCGGGGAAAAAGGGCTGCGGGCTGGAGGCGGGGCCTCTTACCCTGCCGCTTTCTCTGGCAGCAGAGGAGCAGCTGCAGACCGAGCGCCCGAAGCCGCAGCCGGCTGTGCCCCCGCGGCCTAGTGCAGACCTCATCCTGAACCGCTGCAGCGAGAGCACCAAACGGAAGCTGGCGTCTGCTGTCTGAGGCCCTGGCACAGCCCCCAGATGGCGCCCAGGTCCCTCCGCCCCCTAAGGCCCGGATCCCTGTATATGTTACTAGAGCCTGAGGTCTGGATGCTTAGGGTTGCTCTGGGCCTCGCTCTGCCTAGCTATCCTCCACCCTCAATAAATGTTGCTTGGTGAGGACAGAGGCTCTGCAGAGACGCGAGGGGTGCTGGGCTAGAATTAGGACATGGCTGTGAGCTCTGCTGGGGTGGTGGTGGTGGTGGGGGAAGTTGCAAGAGCCAAGGTCTGGTTGCATACCGCAGTGGCCTTGGCCAAGATCAACTTTGCACAAGGCCAAATGCAAGAGGAACTTCTGGACTCCAACTGCCTTCTGAACTCTGGCCCCATTGCAGAACAGTCCTGAAGAAGTTGGACACAGTACCCAGCGAAGGGGGACAGGAAAGTGTGTGACTTCGTGTTCGTGTGTGCACCTTAGTTGACCAAAAAAAAGTAATTTAGGTATAGGGAGGAGGAGTCTCTGATTCTTCAGCAAGAATGTGCTCAGTTAGGAAGGAGGCTGTCCCAGAAAGCAAATATTCAAATGAACAGATCCTCACAACTTACCCCAGGATTACTGCCAGCCTATGGCTTCAAGGCTTTCCTGGTGGGTCTTTCCCAAAATGCAAAGACTCTAAGGTGCACACAGGAGCTGCAAGTATTGCAAAGATGCAGCTTGTAACCAAGGCCATGGGTGATGTGAAGAGCTCTCCTCCTGTGGGAGAGTGTCTACCTGAGGATGGCCAAGGCTGGTCCCCTTAGAGATCAGAGCAAATCGGTAAGGAGACAGATGCTTCTCAAGAGAATAACTGACCATGAAATGATTGAAAGAGGCCTGGAGAAAACCACTGGGCCCTTCTTTTGCTTTTTTGCAGGCCTCTTTGCTGGAAGAGTCCAGTGTCAGGGACTGTCATGCAAAGCTGTGGGAAAATTAACCACAGGCACCCCAACCTTTTTGCTTGTTCAGTTGCAATTGTAACTTAAAAAAACTTAAATACAGTATAAGATAAAATACTTACTTTAATAATTTTTAGTTTTTTTTTCTTCAAGGTAAAGTGCTTTCCCCCATGTTTTTCTGTGTTTGTTGTTCCCTGGAGGTGGTGGTGTGCTGGCCCCACAACAGCACGCTGGCGTGGAGGACCCTGGTAGTGGGTGTGCCCGAGGTCCGGAGGGCACCCCTGCAGGCCTCTGCCATGCACAGGGAGCAGACTAGGGTGCTGCTGGGTGGGTGTGTGGCAGGTGCCGGGGTCTAAGCTAGGCCTACACTGTCTGTGCAGCCAGTTTCCTTGAGTCCAAGCACAGTGCTGGGCACTTTACATTATCTTTAGTTCTGACAACAATCTTGTCAGGTAGGTGCGTTAGGGATGAGAAAACCAGGGCTCAGAAAATATAGCTGATTTGTTTAAGGTAACAGGGAAAGTAGGTGGCAGAGTTGGGAGGTGGAGCTGGGATTTCATTTTCTGATTCCAAAGCCATACCGGACCCACCACATTATCCTGACCCTGCGGTGCTGCGATTGAGGGACACTCAGAGGAGACAGCGTGATGCGGGGCAGCTTCCAGAGCCCTCCGCAGCCCCTCACGTCGTCTCCTATGCTGGAGGAGTAAGTAGCTCCCCTGCCCACCCTGGGTGGGAATACAGGGCCTTGGGGCAGATGCAGGACACCCCTGCCCCAGGGACTGACAGGGACCCACCAAATCCAGGCCCCAGCTCCTGGGCTGAGCCTTCCCCATCTCTGTGACCACAGCTCCCCAAAGTGCTCCCATTCGTAGCCCCTGCATCACCATGACCCTGGAAACCACCCTGCTTGTGCAATCATTTTCCCCAGTCACATGAGTGACAGTGCTGGTCAAGCCACCCAGGTCCCAACACACACTGCCAGGTGAAGGAATCTAGGGACCTTAGGAATTAGTTCAAAGCACCCCACACATGGTCCAGTCTAGAGAAGGCATCCCCGGCTGTCCCTTGCCTGTCACCAATAGGCTAACCATCAGGGAGCCACACACATGACAGACGACGAGCTGAGGCTGTACAATAGGTTTCCATGTCAGGCACAGTAGCCACTTAGAAAAGGAAAGAGAACACCGACTTTGGAGTCACACAAGCCTCGGTGTGAATCCTGAAGACTCCTCTACTGGGTGTGTGACCAGCGCAGGCCATTCAACCACTCTGAGCCTCAGCTGCTTGTCCCTAAAATGGAGAGGCTGAGCTTTCCCTGCTGACCAACCCGTGTTTGCAGATTATTCAAGATCCCAAATCTCAGGCCAGTCTGGTTAATGCAGGGCCCCACCTCCGATATCCGGGGTCCGTCCACAGCTGCTAAGAGGTACCAGGAGCTGGTTTCCCACCCCCACCTAAACCAGTCTACCCTGGATCTCTTCTCCAGGGAGTAAGCCTCTGAGCTAGCGGGACCCAGCTGTACCTGCAGTCAACCTTCCAATGACGGGAACTGCCAGGGTTGGGCCATTTCCCCTGTGCCTGAGGACAAGCATTCTGGCTCCAGTGGGGGCTGGGTGCCTTGTCTGGTAACCACCTGGGGGTGGGTCTCTCCCTCCTGCAGCCTCCCCTCACTTTTACTAAAGCCTTCTTCCCCATTGCTTCCTGAGTGGGTCATCAGGTCAGAATCGTAAGCCTGTTAGCGCCCTAGTGAGATTAACTCCTATAACCTGGAGAGTATTCACAATTTTCGGTCACTAATACCAACGGCAGAGACTAAGAACACCGGCACACACACACACACGCAAACACACACACACAGGCGCGCGTGCTTTCAAGTGACAACCTGCCAGGGGGAAAATGCTATAAAACAAAGGGCATTATTGGATCAGCTGACAAAATTGGAGTATGGATGGTAAAATGGATGAAAGTATTACATCAACGTCCAATATACTGGAGTTGGTAATTAAATCCTGGTAATATTAAGAGAATATCCCTATTTTTTAAAAAAGATTTATTTATTTTTAGAGAGAGGGGAAGGGAGGGAGGAAGAGAGGGAAAGAAACATTAGTTGGCTGCCTCTCGCACATGCCCCAATGGGGACCAGGCCTGCAACCTAGGCATGAACCCTGACCAGGAGTTGAACCGGTGACCTTTCTCTTTGCGGGACAACACCCAAGCAACTGAGCCACACTGGTCAGAGCAAGAATATCCCTATTCTTAGAAAATACTCCATAAAGTATTTAGAGGTAAATGATGTATAAAACTTTCCCTCAAATGTTCATAAAAAATTATGCACAGACCTGTATATACATGTTACAGTTATTCATTTATACACTTGTAGGCAATGTTGTACACATAGGAGAGACAGGGAGAGAAAGCAAACAAGTGATAAAACATAGGGGTAAAATGCTGCAATATGAGGATCTGGCTAAAAGGCATATTATTTTCATTTCTGTAACTTTTCTATACATTTGAATTATTTCAAAATAAAGCTAAAAATACAAATAGGGCTAGGGCTCAACTTTCTTTGCCTTTTTAAGGCAAATGTTACTAGTTTTGGGGCTTTCCATTTTAAGCCCTACCTTTCTGGGTTCCTGTGGAGGCAGACTGATAACACGGGAACATTACAGTCTGTGAATATGCTTCCAACCAACTCTACTTAAACTTGGAATCATGTTAGGTCACAAGGGACGTCACCTGAAAGGGTGGGTGGGGATAAGTGTGTGTGCATATGTGCTCCTCAATGAATACACACACCTACCTCTGTTCTCTATTGACTTATTTAAACCTGGAGATCCCATCCCCAAGGGCTACAGGCATCAAGCAAGTATGTGAATGAGTGACACGGGCCAGGCATAAGAAAAGTCAACTCCTAGAAATACAAGAAAACTTTCTTGATTTTTACTGGGCTATAGTGAAGCATAAAATATCATTAAAAAAACAAGTATGATACTGTAAATTATGTTTCCAAGTTATAATGAAAAACATTGAAAAACAGAAACATTTAATAACTCATTTCCCTATCTCAAAATCCCATGGGCCTAGAGGATTCTGGTGTTACATCCCATGGGGAATTGCCGGAAGCATGTTCTTCATGTCGCGATGTGGAGGACAGAGTCCCACTGTGAGTCCTTTAACTGGGAGCAGTATTTCATTTTACTCAGTTTCATAATGGAAAACAGCTGTTCACAAATGTAGGTGCTCCCAAACATGGAGAGAATCTTTGCACAGTGGTTTTTATATTTTGGGTAGCTACTCCAGAGGTATTTATAGAATTCTGGTATTCCCACCTTGTCGTATTTGGCTTTCAGCACTGTGTTGCACTGTAGATCAATAACCTCCATCTGCAACGCTTCATGCACGCTCTCGATCTTCACAGAGAAAGGGGAGCTGAACAGGGTCAGTTCACTTTCATAGAGTTTGAAATCAGACAGTCTTTTCTGGAATTCAGTCTTTAATTCCACAATTTTGGGAATGTAGTTCAGGCCATCACTTTCGCTTCTAGAAACTGATTTCAGTGTGGGAAAGTGGGCCAGATTATTCCTTGCCAGATGAGTTTCCCAAAGGCACAGTTTAGCCAGAAATGCCCGAATCAAGTCATACATTTGTGTAACAATTTGTGAATGCCCTTGGAGAGAAATGTTTAAAGTGTTCAGATGCATCGTCATATCAACCAAGAAGGCCAAGTCTTTGACCCAGTCTTGAGAGCTCAGTTGAGGAAGGGGTTTTCCTCTGGATGACATGAAGGAATCAATTTCTTCCAACGATTCAAAAAATCTTTTCAACACCAGCCCACGACTGAGCCACTTGATCTCTGTGTAGTATAGGAGGCTGCCATATTGGCTGTCCAGTTCATAAAGCAAAGTTGTAAACTCGCTATGGTTCAGTCCACGGGAACATATCCAGTTCACAGAGTTAACTACCACATTCATGACGTGGTCCATCTTTAACTTTTGAGCGCAAAGTGATTCCGGATGAATAATGCAGCAAACGGATTTCAGATCTGAACCCTTGCAAACCATTGCCACCTTGGACTTAAGTTTTGTAACAAGTCCATTGTTCGCATCTACCATGGCAGGGGTGCCAGTTGAGGCCACACTTACTAATTTTGACCAGTCGATATTAAACTTTTTAAGACTTTTCTCAACACGCAAAAATATCTCATTTCCAGATTTTGTACCTGTCATAGGCACCGTATCCAAAAGTTCTTCTGACACATCAAAATTCTCATCAACACCACGGATGAATATGGCCAACTGAGTGGTATTATTAATATCTGTGATCTCATCGATTGCAATAGAGTATGCCACAAATGATTTGATTTTTTCACGCAACTTCTCCCATAAGTTCCCAGTCACATCTTCTACGGGCTGCACCACAGCATTTTCATTTTGACCCACATTTGCAAATACTTGTTTTTGCTCAGGACACACAATTTCTGATGACCCTAAGAGATACTTTCTGAGTCCTTTTTTCAACTCATGAAGCTTCTCGTCACGCATCTTCTCAGTATACTGGTCATAGTGCTTACTGTGGTTGGTTTGATAATGGCGTCTTAGGTTGTATTCCTTTGACACAGACATGCTCTGTTTGCATATTAAACACGTAGGGATATTCTGCACTTCCACGAAGAAATATGCTCTCTCCCACTTTTCTTGAAATACACGGCCTTCTTGGTCTATCTTTCTTTTTCCCACTTTTGATAGAGACATGGAGACAAATACATTTCACTTTTCTTTTAACTCTACTATTAGAAAAACAACAGCAAAAGCATGATGATACACGGGAGAGATAAAGCGGCTAGGAGGCGTGGTTACCGGAGAGGAACCCGCCCCTGCAGAGAGGGACAGCTGACTCTCACCGCAGCACACTGCTGCCAGAGGGTGATGGGCCCTCCGAGGCCAGAGCTTCAGATTTCTAAAGAAAACCTGGAAATCGATTTTCATGAAAAAGTCCCTGGCTTTTAATATTGGCAACTAATTCCCATTTTTAAAAGGTATATGAGCCAAACAAAAGACATCTTTGGTGAAGTTCAACAGGTAGCTCTATTTGCCACATTTTGTTTAAACAAGAATGATTTGAAAGTATATTTGCATTTAACAGATATTTTTTTCATTTGATTCTCAAGAGAACTTTGAAGTCAGAGAAGGGAATGAGCACAGAAAGTATATAATTTAGCTGCTGTGAGTCACAAAAGACACAGGTGACAGCCACAGAACTTACTTGTTTCAATTTAAATAACCCGGCCACGATGCAGGTAAGCTTTACTTCAAGAGAACACAGACATAACAACTCACTTTTGGTAGTCTTTCGATAGAAAATTAAATGCTTGAACTTGACATCAAATTTAAAAAAAATAAAATATATGCAGAGACAGGAAGTCTACTTAGTGGTTGGCTCGCCTGGGGCTGCGGATGGGAGTGGGAAATGACTGAAAATGGTTGGGAGGAATGTTTTGGGGGGTAATGGAAATGTCCTAATATCAGATCGTGGTGATGTCTGCACAATCCCTACATTTACAAAAACCACTAAATTGTGTACACTCCATACAAGTGAATTTTCTGGTGTGTAAATTATGCCTCAATAAAGTTATTAAAAATGTAAACAATCATTTAGAACCAGAGGAGTTTAGGAGTAATTGAGCATTTGAAAAGAATATTTAAGTTTCCAAACTTTGAGGAGGTTCCCTAGTAATTCAAGCTCTTGAGAAGTCTTTGCACCTTTTGCCTCACTCACACTATAGGATATTGACTTGCTTGTAAGAATTCCAGGGGAGACATTCACAATATTTATTTACCCAGCAGAGTGCCTTGGGCATTGCTCAATTAGAACAGATGTCAACCTCAGCACCGGAAGGGGCAGTTAGGGGGTACTCTGGGAGCACCTGCTGTTCCAGGTGGTACCCCTCTTGGTTCTGAACTGTGGGAGTTTGGGGCAGTTGGGAGGCCCAGGGGGTGGGGCTGGGGTGGCCAAGCACCCACTCTCTACCAACTAAGAAGGAGTAGTTCAGTATCATGATATGAGCCTAGACTGTACTGGGCTCTCTCTCTCTCTCTCTCTCTCTCTCTTACACACACACACACACTCTACTGTGTAGCAAGCTCCCTCAAACTGATGTGTGAAAAAAAAAATGCCTGGCTAATTAAATTCAAGGAACAGAATTACAACACTTTCCAACAAGCAGGAAAAATAAAATGCCTATAAAGAGCAGCATGCTTTGCTCTAAGGCTCAAGAAGCAAGGACCCTGTGGTCAGTTTCCACCGACACTTCCCACAGCACGGTGGTTGCTGGAATGATCTCACCACCCCGAATACTCACCATTGCTGAACTCAAGGCCTGGAAGTGGTCTGAAGAGAAAGAGACATTGGTGAATGCAACAACGTCCATTTAGTTCCATTTGACAAACTTTTGTGAGTGCCAACTGTGTGCTAAGTAAGCAGTGAGGGTTGAAACTGAGACAGGCTCCCCATTTTCATCAAGAAACAGGACCAAGGACACACAGCTCGCAGAAGTGGAATACAATAAAATGAGTTGAGAGGCAGCTTGTCACAGCAGTTGACTCCAGGGACCCACCACCCACCTCCCTGGATATAGGTCCCTATGGTCCCTATAGGTCCCTATAGTCCACTTTGGTCAAGGTACTACCTGCAGATTCATGCTCATGGGTAAGAGGGGACTTCTTACTTACCTAATGACTGTGAATTTGATAAATTCTGCAGCATCCAAGATCCTTCTCATGGAGCTGATTTCCAGGTAACCAGGGGCTTTGAATACCACCCCTGGGGGCATGCCATCGATGACCACACAGCCAGGGTTGAATGTGATTTTCCTGTAGGGAACTTTCACAGGGAAATCCACTCCAATGGCTTCACCTGTGGTGAATAAACAGCAAAAAATGAGTTGTGCTCATCATGTGCTTACCCAAACCATGCTTTATCTTTAATGTCAAGATTTAAAAATCACTTGTATCAAGCAACAGCGCTGGTGATCGGCCATTATTACTTTAATTTCCAGCCGTTCTATGATGTATGAATAATCTTACTGATTTTGGAATTGGCAATGGGTAGTATAGCAGACTCAGTTTCTCTGTCCATTAAATAGGTATTATCATAGTATCTACCAAAAAAGGTTTTTGTGAGGATTAAATGTTTAATCATGTGTTGAGCACCAAAAACAATGTTCAGCCATGGTAAGAATGCAGTAAATCAAAGATAGCTATTATTATTATGTAATTAGTGTTTCCATGAAAAAATTCTTCAGTAAAAATACACACTAATTTTGATCATAGCTCCTTCACACAAAAATCAGCTTCTTAGCTAAAGTATTCAATTAAAGAGAAACAGTGCATGCCCTGGCTGGTGAGCTGCAGTGGGCAGAATGCTGGACTATAAACCAAAAGGTCGCCTGGTCAAGGGCACATGCCTGGGTTGTGGACCAGGTCTCTGCTTGGGGGTGTGCGAGAGGCAGCTGATCGATGTTTCTCTCCCTCTTTCTGCCTCTCTTCCCTCTCTCTAAAAAATAAATAACATTTTTTAAAAAGTTATTTACAAAAAGAAATATTGCAAATATATAAATTTTAGATATGTAATGATAAAAACACTTACCAAATTTTCGGCTAAAGAGATCATTGACTTGTTCTCTGAGTTGTTTTATCTTTTCAATGCTTGATAACCTTTCCTTCTCATTATCTAAAAATAATTAAACAAATAAGTAAACTAGGATTATTAATGTATTTGCCCCAAAAAAAGTTGTTAAAGAAAATGCTCATTAGCATATGAAAAATCATTTTACCTGGCTTATCATTCAGTTTAGTTTTAGCAAAAATTAAGCATTTTATAAATTTGTAAATGGAAGCCATTATAGATGGTATAGAATTTTCAAAATTATAACTCCATATAAACATACTATGTACTACTTTCAGGAATATTTTCAATATCATGTAAGACAAGGATGTCCACTTTCACCACCACTCTTTAACATTATAATAGAAATCCTAGCCAATGCGATGATGTGTAAAAATGAATAAGATGTATTAATATTAGAAGGAAGATTTTTCAGTCCTTAAAAATTTTATTCTATTTAATTTTGAATAAATAAAGAAACTACATGGTACAAAATTCAAGAGATATAAAATAGAGGATTTCCGGTCAAGATGGAGGCATAAGTAGACATGCTTTGCCTCCTTGTGCAACCACAAAAAGAATTACAACTAAATCTCAAAACAAATAACACCCAGAACTGTCAGAAAATCGAACTGTATGGAAGACTGACAACCATGGATTTGGGGAAGCCACAATCATCCAGATGGGTCGGAGGGGCGAAGACATGGAGACAGCATGGAGAGGAGAGGAGGTACAGTGTGGCGTGGAGAGAGAGTAGAACAGGAACAAGTGGTCCCAAGTTTAGGCGTGGTGGGTAAAAATTGGGAGGGATATTTGGGGAGCAAGAGATCCCTCAGGGAAATGGGGCAAGTGCCGGGCAAACCCCCAGAAGCCAGGCAGCAGCACAGTCCCTTCTCTGAGCTCTTCCCACACACAAAGCCACAAAGTGGTGAAGTGGGCTGCCCCACCCTGGTGACTACCTGAGGCTCCACCCCACACAATTTACAGGTGCCTTTTACAGGGAGTCAAAGCACCTCTACCTAATACACAGAAACAAACACAGGGAGGTTGCAAAATTGAGCAGACAAAGAAATATGCCCCAAATGAAAGAACAAAACCCCAGAAAAGGAACTAAACAAAACAGAGATAGCCAGCCTATCAGATGCAGTTCAAAACACTGGTGATCAGAATATTTAAACAACTCATTTAATACGGCAATGACATAAAGGAAGAGCGGAAGGTTACACTAAGTGAAATAAAGAAAAATCTATAGGGAACCAACAGTAAAGGGAAGGAGGCCAGGATTCAAATTAATGACTTGAAATATAAGGGAAAAACAAACATCCAACAAAAACAGAAAGAAGAAACAAGAATTTAAAAAAAATGAGGATAGTGTAAGAAGACTCTGGGACATCTCCAAACATGCCAACATCCGAACTACAGGGGTGCCAGAAGGAGAAGAGGAAGAGCAAGAAGTTGAAAACTTATGTGAAAAAATAATGAAGGAAAACTTCCTTAATTTGGTTAAGGAAATAGACATACAAGTCCAGGAAGCACAGAGAGTCTCAAACAAGGTGGACCCAAAGAGGACCACACCAAGACACACAGTAATTAAAATGCAAAAGGTTAAAGAGAGAGAGAGAGAGAGAGAATCTTAAAAGCAGCAAGAGGAAAGCAGCAAGAGAAAAGCAGAGAGTTATATACAAAGGAGTTCCCATAAGACTGTCAGCTGATTTCTCAAAAGAAATTTTGCAGGCAAGAAATATTCAAAGTGATGAAAAGCAAGGCCTTACATCGAAGATTACTCTATTCAGCAAAGCTATCATTTAGAATAGAAGGACAGATAAAGTGCTTCCCAGACAAGGTGAAGCTAAAGGAGTTCATCATCATCAAGCCATTATTACATAAAATGTTAAAGGAACTTATTTAAGAAAAAGGAGATCAAACCTATGAACATTAAAAGGCAACAAATTCACAACTACCAACAACTGAATTTAAAAAACAAAAACAAATTAAGCAAACAACCAGAACAGGAACAGAATCATAGGCATGGAGATCATTTGGAGGGTTATCAGCTGGGAAGGGGAAGGGGGAGAATGGGAGAAATGGTGCAGGGGTTAAAAAGCATAATTGGTAGGTACAAAATAGACAGGAGGATGTTAAGAATAGTATAGGGAATGGAGAAGCCAAAGAACTTGTGTGCATGACCCATGGACATGAACTTCGAAGGGGGTATTGCTGGAGGGAAGGGGGTACTGAGCAGAGGGGGGCAAAGAGGGTAAAATTGGGACAAATGTAATAACATAATCAATAAAATATACTTTAAAAAGATATAAAACAATATATCATGAAACATCTCTCTTCCATCCCTATCTCAGCTCTCAGTTTCCTTCTTCGGAGGAGCTATGCTATTAGATTCTGTGTATCTCTCCGAATACATTTTACATACGCTTGTTCAGAAAAGGAGATTGCTTGATGGGCAGGAAATAAATTTCAATGATGTGGCCAAGTCTAATTCAATGGTAGCTAATGCTTGGAGTTGTCTGCCCTGAGGTGTATTTTCCACATAATGCCAATGTATGGTTGGGAGAGCAATATATTTGATTTACAATGTTTGATAAAAGCAAGATATTTAGTGTGTGGGAATCTGCAGCATATTTTCTATTCTTGACTTGTCATTCCATAGTTGACAGGATGAACTAAGAAAAAAAACCAAAAATAAAAACAAAAAATGCCACAACTCCAAGAGGCTAATTCATGTCACAAAATGGTTAAAATGTAACAAAATAAAAAATATATTATTATTTATGATAAAGCCAGATAAACTTCCATACCTGGAATTGTCACCTGAACGATGTTAAGATCTTCTACACCTTTTGCAGAACTTGAAATATTGGATGAATTCGTGTTTCCTTAAGACAGAAATTGAAATTTAGAACTTTCAGAAAATTAGGCCAATTCTCCTCTAAAAATGTCTAAGTGCCATTACTCAGAAGCCCAGAATGAAGTTTTTAAAGCTTGAGAAAATTTAGCTGGAGGACAACCAGATGGCGTGGCGTAAGTTGACATCTGAGTCTCTGCCGTTTAATGGTGCTGTCGGGGGGGTGGGGCAGGGCGGGCACTATTGCTGTTACTTAGTTCGTAGCCCCAATACTTCAGCCACTCTAATTAGATATTAAAAGAAATGTGTTTAAAAGTATATTACCTTTGTTGTTATTCTCAGTTTAAAGGGGGGAAAAAGGAAATAATACACACAAATGTGTCCAAGAGGACATGTAAGTAGCAGACATCCTGTGAAATAAGATTTAATGTAGTCACAAAAAACGCTCAATGTTGACAGTAAACGCAGAGTTGATGTTATCATGATTTTTGTCAAATGACAAATACAACATTCGCTTAAGCTCTAGGTGACAAATGTAAATGAGCCTGTGTAGTCCTATCCTAGGGACTCAAAGCTCAGTCCACACGTTGTGTGAGTGACCATTTGGGCCCTGGAGATTACCCGTCCGGACAGCAAGGCCTCAGAGGGACACAAGGCGGCACACCGGCAACGGCAGCCGGCAGGTTTCCCTGCCGTGTTCCGTGCTGCTTCAAACAGAAAATGGGGAAGGGAATGTGGGAAAATTTGTTGCTCTTTTCCTCAAAATTAGTCATTTTTCTGATCTAATAAATCCTGTAAGGTCTGATTCTTAAGTCAGATTCAACATTCAGGGATTACTGAAACTACTGTGAGGTTTCATCATCACATTGAAATAAGCACAATCTTTCAGAGACTTAACACCACTGAGCCCCCAAAACACCCAGGACCAAATTCAGGCCCTTAGAACCAACAAGGAGAGAGTGCACGCCAGAAGGGAGGCAGCATTTCTCACAAAGTGCTTATGTTTTATCATTAAAACTGACTCCTCATAATATAAACATCTGTCACAAAACACACGAAGCACAATTTAAAAACTGATCAAAAATCCAATTGCAATTAGTGGCTAAATTGGCAGTTAATCCATTTTAATTACCCTACATATTTTAAATAAATGGGTGGCATTTTCACTAATGGGTCTAAGTTGTAACTCCTCTAAAAGTCTCACTTTACATAAACAATGACTCTTTTTGAATTGACTGCTCAGTAACTTTGTAAGTTAGTTTAAAACTGCTCTTCTGGTTCATATTCTATGAACCATCATAATAATCCTTGTCAGATGAAGGACATGAACACTCCTACGATGAACTTCCAAAAACTTTTAGTCCTCTGTTAGATGCATGTTTGTTAGTGGCTAAATTAATTGCCAAGTAATTTATGGCTCGTTCTTTTTTTTTCCTTTCAGACTTTATTTATTTATTTATTTTTAGAGAGAGAGGAGGGAGCGAGAATGAGAGGAAGAGAAATATCAATGTGTGGTCGCCTCTCACATGCCCCCAACCGGGGACCTGGCCAGCAACCCAGGCACGTGGCCTGGCCAGGAATCAAACCAGTGACCTTTAGGTTTGCAGGTGGATGCTCAATTCATTGAGCCACACCAGCCAGGGCTAACTTAGGGCTAATTCTTTTAAAAACTTCTATCCAGAGCAAAAGCGTGGTCCAGCCTACACTTCCTGTGCAATCGTGATGCCCCACAAGACAGTGGCACAGTAGAGAGGTTGCCTTGGAGAACATTTCCGGCATTCAAATCACTGCTGGACTTTGATGCCAATGTGGGATTCTTTACAGTTAAAAGTACTTTAAGGAAACAACCCAAGTGTCCATCAATAGATGATACTATTCAGACTTAAAATGGAAGTTTGACATATCTACAACATGGATAAACCCTGAAGACTTTAAGTGAAAGAAGCCAAAAAAAAAAAAAAAAAAAAGGGGGCCACATACTGTATAATTCTATCAATATGAAATATGAAGAAGAGGAGAATTGATAGAGACAGAAAATAAATCACTGGCAGCAGGGGTTAGTTAGTTGAGTGGGAGTGGGGAAGGAGGAAGGTTAGCTCAATGGGCATGGGGTTTTACTTTGGGGAGGTGAAAATGTTTTGAAATTATAGAGAGGTGGTGCTGGTTGCACAACATTGTGAATGTACTAAATGCCATTGAAATGTTCACTCTAAAATGGTTAATTTTATGTTACGTTAACTTCGGCTCAATAAAATTTTTTAAAAAGATTTTATTTATTTTTAGAGAGAGAGGAAAGCAGGGAGAAAGACAGGGAGAGAAACATCAATGTGTGAGAGATACATTGATCAGTTGCCTTTTGCATGCCCCCAACTGGGGTCCTGACCCACAACCCAGGGATGTGCTCTGACTGGGATTTGAACTGGCAGCCTTTGGGATTCCCAGCCATCACTTAGTTCACTGAGCCACAACAGCCAGGGCTCAACAAAGTATTTTAAAAGTAACTTAAGGGTTTTATTTGGTGGAGTTTTAAGGGAAAAAAATTTCACTGCATGGCTCAGAATGGTGGAACCTGATGCCACATTGAGACCCTATGATGACTGTGAAACTGGGCCATATAAATGTTTTATCCATTAACCTACTCAGGCCCCACTGATTTCAAGTACAGATGAATCAGCACAAATCCATCGTTACTAATGGAAAATCCATCTGTGGGTCAGGGACATCACCCTCAGAGAGGAAGCATCTCCTTGGTACTCAGTTACCCAGACAGCATCACACATAATTTCTAGGAAAGCTGTTAGTGGGCTAAACACAGCAGAAGCTGTCCATTCACACAGACCAAATCAATACCTGAATTTTTCCCTTAATACATAAGTAATATATGCTTATTGTGGGGAATTAGGGGAATAGTGAGAGTAAAAGGAAGAAATGTAAAATCCTGCATAATTCCAATACTGTTGGTATAGTTCTTTTTGTATTTTCTTTTGTGTACTTTTTTCCTACATATTAATTTTTAAATAATTTTTTATTTTTCAATTAAAGTTGACACACAAATATTAGTTTGAGGTGTACACCATAGTGATTAGACATTTATATAGCTTATGATGTGTTCACCTGATAAATCCAGCACCCATCTGACGCCATACATAATTATTACAATGTGATTGACTATATATCCCCCGTACTTTCCATCCCTGTGACTATTTTGAAACTACCAATTTGTATTTCTTAATCCTTTCCTCTTTTTCACCCATTCCTCCAACACTGCTTCCATCTGGCAACCATCAAAATTTTCTCTGTATCTATGAGTTTGTTTTCTGTTTTGTTTGTTCATTTGCCCTTTAGATTTCCACATATAATTGATATTATATGGTGTTTGTCTTTCTTTGTCTGACTTATTTCACTTAGCCTCGAGGTCCATCCATGCAGATGGCAAGATTTCATTTTTTTTATGGCATTGTATATGGAATATTACTTGCTCTATTGATAGATACTTGGGTTGCTTCCGTATCTTGGCTATTGTGAATAATGCTGCAGTAAACATATGGATACATATGTCTTTTCAAATTAGTGTTTTTTGTTTCTTTGGATAAATACCCAGGGGTGGAATTGCTCAGTCCTTTGTCTCTTGTTACAGCATTGTTTTAAAGTCTATTTTGTCTGGTATAAGAATTATTACCCCAGCTTTTCTTTTGTTTCCATTTTCATGAAATATCTTTTTTCACCCCTTTACTTTCAGTCTGTGTGTGTCTTTTGATCTGAAAAGTCTCTTGAAGACAGCATATGTAAGCATCTTATTTTCTTATCCAGTCAACCACTCTATGTCTTTTGATTGGCACATTTAATCCATTTACATTTTAAGTAATTGTTGATAGATATGTAGTTGCTGCCATTTTATTATTCATGTTTTTGATCTTCTCCTCCTCCTCCCCCTCCTTTTCCTTCTCCTTCTTCTTAAAGAAGTCCCTTTAACATTTCTTGTAATACTGGTTTGGTGGTCATGATCTCCTTTAGCTTTTTCTTGTCTGAGATGCTCTTTATTTGTCCTTCAATACTAAATGGTAGCTTTGCTGGAACAGCAGTGATTTTCAACTGGTATTTTGCAAAAAAATTTAAAACATGCAATATCTGACTATTTAGTCAGAGGCACTGACCTCTTTTCCCTTAGATTGTCAAATTAAAAAAATGACAACAGCCAACACAACAATAGTTGTCTGGTATGAATTAATCAAAGTATACCTTTTTTTTTTGTGAAATCGGCAAAAAATATATTTTGTTGGTGTGCTGCTGAATTTAGTAATTAGTTATGTGTACCATGAGATGAAAAAGGTTGAAAATTACTAAGGGTAGAGTAATCTTGGTTGTACATCCTTGCTTTTCATCACTTTGAATATTTCATGCCAATCCCTTCCAGCCTGCAAAGTTTCTGTTAAGAAATCAGCTGATAATGTTATGGGAGCTCCCTTGTAGGTAACTAACTGCTTTTCCTCTGCTGCTTTTAAGATTCTCTTTTTATTTTTAACCTTTTGCATTTTAATTATGGTGTGTCTTGTGGGCCTCTTTGGGTTCATCCTATTTGGGACTCTGTGCTTCCTGGGCTTATATGTCTAGTTCCTTTACCTGGTAAGGGAAGTTTTCAGTCATTATTTCTTCAAATAGGTTTTCAATTCTTTGCAGTCTCTCTTCTCCCTTTGGTACCCTATGATGAGAATGTTGGTATGCTTGAAGTTGACACAGAGGCCTCTAAAAGTACCATTTTTTGTTTAGATTCTTTTTTCCTTTTGCTGCTCCAACAGGGTATTTTCTGCTACCCTATCTTTCAAATCACTGATTTGATTCTCTGTAACATCTAATCTACTAATGATTCACTGTAGTGTATTCTCCACTTCAGTTACTGTGTTCTTCATTTGTAACTAGTTCTTTATGTTTTCTACCTCCATTTTTATGTTTCCCTTCTCTTTTTAAAAAATGTTTACTGATTTTAGAGAGAGAAGAAGGGGGTGGGGGGGGGAGAGAGAGAGAGAGAGAGAAACACTGATGTGAGAGAGAAACATCAATCATTTGCCTCCCATACACCTCTCAACTGGGGATGGAACCTACCACTTAGGTATGTGCCCTGACTGGGAATCAAACTCCTGACCTTTTGGTGTGTGGGATGATGTTCCAATAAACTAAGCCACACCAGCCAGGGCTGTTTCCTACATCTTTGTTAAAGTCCTCACTGAGGTCATTGAGTATCCTTATATTCGGTGTTTTGAATGCTACATCTGGTAGATTTCCTGTCTCCATCTTGTTCAGTCCTTTTTCTGGAGTTTTGTTTTGTTCTTTCATTTGGGACATGTTTGTCTCCTCATTTTGGCTGCCTCCCTGTGTGTGTGTATTTTTTTCTTCCATGTATTAGGTAGAGCTGCTGTGTCTCCCAGTCTTGGTAGCATGGCCTCATGTAGTAGGAGTCCTGTAGGGCCAACTGGTGCAGTTTCCCTGGTCACTTGAGCTGGTACTCCAGGTGTACCCCTTCTGAGAGTTGCATGTGCCTTCTTGTTGGCACTTTAGTGGGAGGTCAGTCAGCCCCCAGGCAGACTGGTTGTGAGGACTGGCCATGACTCCAGAGGAGGAGCTGTTGTACAGGGGCTGGCCCTATGGAGCTGGATTCACTTTGGCAGGGCTCTGGTGCCTGCTGAATCTGCTCTTTGGGTTCATTTGTTGAGGTGGTTGAGTGCTGCTCTGGTGTGATCTGAAGGTGGCCACCAGGTGTGTTGGTTCTAGAGCCTGTTAGGAGGCGTTTTGCTGCAGGTCAAGTTCAGCCACTGTCTGAGCCCTGCCTGGGGCCACTTGGTATGAACTTCAAAGTGATCTGCAGATGGTTGTCACTTGTATTGGACCTAGCGTTGCCTGGGAGAGGCTAAGCTGCAAGCTAAGGCTGGCTGCTGGTAGTCCAGGCTTGCAGCTGCTTAGCAAGAGGTATGCTGCACACTGAGGCCAGATGCTGTTTGTATGGGTGAACCTTTGAGAGGTTTTAGGGAAGTCCACAGTATGAGGACAAAGACAGGCCATTTGTATGGAAAAGCCAGTGAAAGAGGCTTGGGCCTGCAAGTCAGGTAGATTGGGGTCTCAGAGAATCAACAGGTCAGGGTGAAAGGTATTATCCAGGTTGATGGAGAATCAGATATGGCGCTCACCTGTACCTGCAGGCTGTGGTGGGAGGGAGAGGATGGAAGACTCAACAAAGACTCAATGGTGTCTGCTAGCATTTCTGCCTGGGACAAAGCTGTCCCTTCAGCCTTTGTCCTGAATCCAGACAATTCATTTCCTCCCCGTATGTCCCTGGTGCCTTCTGAGCTGCTTCCTCAGCACTGGAGCTCAGAGCAAGTAAGTATGAGTAAGTCAATGTGCAGTCTCTTTAAGAGCAACACCTTAAACTCCAGTTGCCCTCTGTCTTACTCAACCACAACCTTCGCTGGTTTCACAGCCAGGTTATGGGGACTTCTCTCCCAAGCATGGGAAGCCTGGTGTGGGGCTGGGCTCCCCTGCTCCTCAGGGAGGACCTCTGAAGCCAAGATATCTCTTCAGATTTTAACCTGCCACACATAGGTGTGGGACCAGCCCGTTCTATGCCTCGGGCCCCCATATGAGTCTGAATGTGGCTTCTTCTCTTTATCCTTAGTTATAAGACCTCTGTTCAATTAGACTTCAGGGGATTCTCAATGATGGTTGTTCTGTAGTTCAGTTGTAATTTTGATATGGTTGTGGGAGGAGGCGAGCACAGTGATTTTCCTACTCTGCCATCTTGACTAGAAGCCCTAAACAAAATTGAGATTCCCACAGTAAATTGTGATGTCTTGTAGTTCCCCTCTATATTGTGTATAGTTTGTCTTGAGCCAGACAGTTTTGTTTCCTGCTGAACGTACTGTGAGCATTTTTCCAAATGGATCACCACGATCCGTTCTCTACCTGCTGGGCACTTAAATTGTACCCACTTTTTCACTATTATAAACAATGACAAGAGAGGTTTTTCTTCCCCCTAAAATAATCAACTTAATGAAACCACTTTTAGAATTCAAAAAAAGTGAAGTACGTCAGAATGAACAAGTTAGGATACGAATATTCATTTAATTTCGACATTCCCCCAATCGTGGCAAAACCGGTTCAGACCCTATGATATTTCAAGGGAAGTCATATCATATATAAGTAAAAAGGACTCATTCAATAAACAAAAGTAAATACAACTTCAAGGGCATAAATGTTTATTTTCAAAGCATAATTTGTATAGATTGCACATTATTACCCAAATACTAATGTCTTCTTGTTAAATCATGCTTCCAATGGAAAAAAGATAAACTTGCAATTTTATAATTCAGATTTTACTAGTTTAAAATCACATCTGTTCATATAAGTGAGATTTTATTAAATGCTATGGTAAAATTATATACCTAATGACATTGATTCTGAGACCTCATTAACATTACTAAATACATAAACTAAAAGAACTTCTCATATTAGGAAGACACTATGGATCAGCTCATATTCCAGCATCAGAGATAAAAATATTTTTAGCAGATTATTAAATGGATTACAGTGAAAGAAAATAGATACATTCTTTTAACTAAGTGAGTTGAAAAATCCACAAACTCCAGGATAAATGGTTTAATTTGTATGAACAATAAAAAATGTTTTTAGGAATTTGTAATTATAAAGAATATCCTTGGAATATGTTTATGACTATTAGGTGTAGGTTTTAAACAAATATCAAACAAAAACCCAGTCACTGCAATTAATTTAATTTTAGAAAAGATGTAGTTTTAATAAAATATTATGCCACATTAAAAAAATAAAAAACAAAAAACCCCAAACCAAACAGACTGCAAGTATTTTAAAGTAAATAATCTTTCATAGTGGATTTTATAAATCTTTTTAAAGTCACACTTTGACGTTCACTTGCATAGATACTTACACTTAAACTGAGTTCACTGATTCCTGGCCTGATTGGTTGTAATTTTTGAGCTGTTTATCACACTCCAGTAGGAAAGGAATGTTCCCGAGTGAACCAGCCCCTTCCTTCTCTGTCCCCTCCTTCCCTCCTCCCCCGTCATTCTGTTATCACTAGGACTGAGTGCAATTTGGTTCCCTGGTGGCCCAGTGCTAATTTGCATGCCCTAATCAAAGTCTAAAAAGCCTAGAGCACTATGTACTTGACGGGAACATGCGTTGCTCTGGTCATACGTGCACAAGCATCAAGTTCAATCTTTTCCCCATAATAATCCTTTAAGAAGAAATGAAAACTATATTTAGCAGCGTGAATGTGAGGAAGCTTTTGGCAACTAACCTTCAATTTTCACCTTGGCTTCAGGGTTCTCATTCGATTCTGAAGGGACAAGCTGAGTAGAATCTTGAAAAAAAAATTTCTAAAATGACATTCATTATTATGTATTCTCATGTTCCAACATCTTACTGCTCCTACACCAAAATATAGCTTATCCTGGAATTTTAAATACATTTGGTGCTTCATAAACATAAAGATAATTTTAATTTCAGAAGGGATAAAAGGGTAATAAAGGATATACTTAAAAGGGATAAGGAGAAATAAGAACCTTTCACACATCAAATAATACGGAGTCATCCACATTAATGGACACAGAATATCCTTCTATTTGAGCTAATGGGATACATGTGGTCACAGTGTTTTCTTCTTGTCATTAAGAATTACTAGGATTAAAACAAAAAGTCATTTGCTTTGGTTAATAGCTCCCCTCTTATCCTGCTAGCAGCCCATGGGTGTTCACAGTCTCTTACTACGTGGACGCACAACCAAATTTTCTGGTGGACAAGAATTATAACAAATTACTAAGTTTTACCTGCGGGTAAAAGTCTGGTTAGATTATCTCATTTAACACTGGCTTATTTTAGAAAAATTTGGCAAAGCTTACATTAATTGTTAGGATAGGAAGGAAGACTAGAACTCAAAATTAATTTTATCTGTTTTGATATTGTACTATTGTCATACAAGATGCAACCTTGGGGGAGAATGGGTGGAGGTAATATAGGGCCTCTCTGTACCATTCTTGCAGCATCTTGTAAATCTATAATTATTTCAAAATTAAAAGAAGAGATCAAACTAACTCAGCTCTATCAAAAATAGGCTTCCCACTATTGTGTGATAATAAAAATGTCTTCAGAAATAAAGTAATTCAAAGGCAACATCCAATGAAATCTTTGACTCTCACTGAACACCAATTGTACGACTGTTTCCTGCATAGGTTTTCTTTTTTCTAAACACTATCTATCCATTAACAAAAATGACCAAACAACATCTTAGGATTGAACAAAGGGAAGTAAAGTATTACAGTGGAGGAACAGATTTCCACAGAATTCAAAATAATTGTCTTCTCTCACATCCAGAGATGGTCAGAGATTGCAGTGAAGAAAACAAAAAAAACCCCAAAAAATAAATGGAAGAATTCTGTTACATGCTCCAACACGGATGAACCCTGAGGGCACTATGTTCAGTGAAGTAAGCCAGTCACAGTAGAACAAATACTATAAAATTCCACTTACATGAGGCACCTAGAGTAGTTCATAGAGACACAGCAGAATGGGGTTGCCAGGGCAGGAGGGAAGGGACTCTTTAATGGAATAGATTTGCAAAATGAAAAAGTTCTCAGGATTTGTTTCACAACCATGTGAACATACTTAACACTTAGGACTCAGCCAGTACGGAACTGCACATTTAACAATGGTTAAGATGGTAAATTTTATGTTATGTGTTTTTACCACAACTAAAAAATATATAAAGGGTCCAGCACAAATAACGCCCCTTTCTTATTACAAAATCTTTTATTTCACAATTATAAGCATGTAATTCTGTAACATAACAATATCACACTCAAGCACACCACGTTACGTTTTAGGTGAAGTGTTCAAATTAAAACTAGAAATTATTACTCCCATATTATTCCCCTACCAACCACACTCAGGCAGGGGTTACTTCTGCAGGACATGGCATATAATTTATAAAAATAAACAGAAGTTGAATAATGACAGAATTAACTTGTTTTGCTGGTTTAAAGCAATTAAGTTCAAAACGACTAACTTTATGAGGGAATGAATAATTCTAAGACCAGACTCTAGTATAGTATGATCTCTGGCAAAATCTATCCAAATTCTTTTAGGTTAGCAGATTGGACAAATGGCTCAGGGGGCTATTGAACTGTCCTCCACAATAGAGAACCCCAGGCCCCCCAAATCAGAAAAGCTATTAAAATGACTGCAACTGTAATAGAATAAAAATAAAAAATGATTTTAAAAAAGATAACTATAATAGAGTAACAATAAAAAGTGGTTAAAAAAATAAAATAAAACAACTACAAATCAGCTCCTTGGAGAAAGCTTTTGACTTAGAGAAAAAATACAAGTCATTTTGCTACTAAGACAGATGTATGGCTCCTTAAAACAAGATCATCTTGCCTGTAAACTGACAAAGATGTTCCATGCCTCTAAATTTGGAGAGGAAGTATACTTTATTAATGTTACTGTGGACATATGTAAACCACTTTAAGAGTTCAGGCCTTAAATATGAGGCTCAGGATTTATAAATGAATGGAGGGAAGTACTGTCAAATTTTAGTTCTAATTCAAGAATTTCCTAAGCCCTGGCCAGGTGGCTCAGTTGGCTGGAGCACTGTCCCACAGACCAAAAGGTTGCAGGTTCACTCCCCAGTTGGGGTGAGTACAGGAGGCAACTGATCAATGTTTTTCTCTCACATTGATTTTCTCTCTCTCCCCCTGCTTCCTCTCTTTCTAAAATCAATAAACATATCCTTGGGTGAGGATAAAAAAAGAATTTCCTATAATACTTTTTAAATCAGTTCAAAAGAATTTGGGCATGCCCATCAAAAAGACAAAATCAAATAAAGCAACAAACTCTCTCTAAAGCACTGACTTTTTTTTTTTTTTAACCACTTAATTTCTGTATTCAAGTGCTTTAAGCAGAATCACTTACTAATTAGGAAAGTAAGAGAGTGAGAGCATTCTTAACATGACATCTTATGCCCTGGCTGGTGTGGCTCAGTGGATGGAGTGCTGGCCTGTGAACCAAAGGGTCACTGGTTTGATTCCCAGTCAGGGCACAGGCCTGGGTTGTGGGGCGGGTCCTGAGTAAGGGGCGCTCACGAGGCAACCACACATTGATGTTTCTCTTCCTCTCTTTCTCCTTCCCTTCCCCTCTCTCTAAAAATAAATAAATAAAATCTTTAAAAAAGTATGACATCTTAGGACTAGGTCTCAGCCAGTTTTCTCAAAAAGTACACCAGGTAGTCCCCTTCTTTATTTTCAAATGTCTGTTTAAAAGAGTGTGTTCTCTGTAAAATATGGTAGACTTAAAAAAAAAGTATATATAATAAAATGCTTTGTTTTTCTGACCTTCCATTGGCAGTTCCATTTCAATTACTTCATTGATTGCAGAGGAATGATGGCTTTCTGAAAGGAAAGCAAACAATGTATTAAAAAGCTGGAAATACAAATTAAAAAAAGAAGTAATTTAAAGCAATGCAAACAGTTCAAGACCCGCACAGGAATGTACATGAAATACTTCGACTCCTTAAATAAAATTTGCAAAAATGATCCTTTCTTTGTATTTTTTCTTTGTTCCTTTATTTGTCCTTTGGAAAAATTTCAAACATACAAAACAAAGAGATGGTATAAAGAAGCCCTGTGTCCAACCCCCAGCGTCAGCAGTTACCGACGCATGTGATCCTGCTTGGTCTGAGGTCAGCCCACCCCAGCCCTGCTCACTTCTGGTTTCCACTAAATCCCAGATGTGGTAGAATTTAAAGTGCAAACACCGCGTAGGTACCAGTAAGACAACAACTCTCTTCCTTCAGCATCACCCCAATATCATGGTGGCTCCCAAAATGAACAATTATTCTCTATCTCATCTCATTTCATATCTAGTCATTGTTCAAGTTTTCTCAATTGTCTCATAAATGTCTTTTTTTAAAAAGAGATTTTTATTTTGAAATAATTTTAAACATACAGAGAAGTTGCAAAAATAAAACAGAACAAAGAAGAGCTCTATACCCTTTACTCAGATAACATGTTAACATTTTACTGTTTCCTTCATCATTTGTAATCTTTCTCCTTTCTCCTCCAATCTATCTATATGGGAGAGGTAGCTGTATATATACATACTTCCCTCTCCCTGAACCATTTAAGAGAAAGTTACACATATCATGGCCCTTTATCTCAAAGAATAGGGATATTCTCTTATATGATCACATTATAGTTATAAAAATCACAGCATTTGAAACTGAGACACTTTTATTTATTCTATCATTCATATTCCAATTTTGTCTGCTGCCCCAAACGCCCTTTGTAGCTCTTCCTTTTTCTGTAGAGAATCCAGTTTGAGATCAGGATGGTTTTCTTTCTTTCTTTCTTTCTTTCTTTTTTTTTGGCTGTTACGTCTCTTTTAGTTCCCTTTAATTTGTAACAGTTCCATAGCCTGTCTTTGATATTTATGGCATTTTTTGACTAGGAACCCCTTTCCCTCCCACAGAATGCTCCTCATTTTGAGCTTGTCTTATGTTTCTTCATGATAGGATGCAGGTTTTGTGTTTTCAGCCAGAATACTGCCTGGATGATGGTGTGTCCTTCTCAGGATATCACATCTGGAGGCATTTGATGTCTGCTAGAGACTAAATGTATCCTCCCAAAATTCATAAGTCAGTCTCTTGACTCCCCAGTGTGATAGTACTTGAAGCTGGGACCTTTCAGAGGTGATCAGGTAATGAGGGGGAAGCCCTCATGAATGGCATTAGTGCCCTTATAGAAGAGATGCCAGAGAGCTCCTCTGTCCCTTCCACCATGGGAGGACACAATGAGATGACCATCTATGAACCAGGAAGTGGGTCTTCTCCAGACACTGGATCTGCCAGCACCTTGATCTTGGACTTCCCAGCCTCCAGAACTATGAGAAATAAATATCTGTTATTTCTAAGCCCCCTGATCTATGGTATTCTGTCATAGTATCTCAGACTAAGACAGAACTCATCTGTCTGTCTGTCTCTCTCTGGTGATGTGAAATTTGATCATCTGATCAAGGTGTTATTTGATTTCTCCACTGTATAATTACTGTTTTTTCCCCTCCCTATTAACTGACAAGCAATTTTAAGATCGTATAAGTATTCTACTCTTAAATTTTTCTCTAGATTTAGTATCCACTGATGATTCCTTCTTGATCCAATCTTTTATTACAATGGTTAAAAAATAATGACTTTCCAACTCTAGCATTCCTGTCATTTATCAGTCATCATTTGGTGTTCCACGGGAAGTAATTGTCTTTTTGCAGTTGGTTTACTCAAATCAGGATCCCAACAAGGCCCACACATTGCATTTGGTTGAAATGCCTCTTAAATCCCTAGTAACACAAAACAGGTTTCTCTCCATTAAAAAACAAAATACAACAAAACAACCCTGCAATTATATGAGGAAGAAATCAGCACATTGGTCTTGTCGCGTTTCTCCCATTCTGGAGTTTATTGCATGAGTCCTTGTGGTGGTGTTTTCCCATGTTCCTGTATCTCCTGAATTTCCTACAAATTGGTAGTTAAGTCTAGAGACTGGATCAGACTTAGGTTTGATTTTGGGGGGCAAGAATACCAAAAGTGTACTTCATACGAGGTCCCATTAGGAGGTACATAATATTTGGTTACCTCTACTGTATAAGGTTAATAATGAGCCAGTGAGTTAGGACCTGTCAACTTGATCCACTTGTGATGAACTCTGGATGCATTGTTATATCAGGGGTTGCAAAACAGGGACAACTTATGACTTCTTTTTCTTTTTTAAACTTTTTTAAACAAGATTTTATTTATTTATTTTTAGAGAGAGGGGAAGGGACGGAGAAAGAGAGGGAGAGAAACATCAAAGTGTGGTTGCCTCTCATGTGCCCCCTACTGGGGACCTGACCTGCAACCCGGGCATGTGCCCTGACTGGGAATCGAACCAGCAACTCTTTGGTTCGCAGGCCACCATTCAATCCACTGAGCCACACCAGCCAGAGTTCTTTTTCAAAGCCTTATGTTTTATTTCCCAAAATTCTTTTAAGTAATTAGAGAGAGAAAGAAGAAAAAGGAGAAGGAGGAGGAAGAGGGGAGGAGGAGGAGGAATTCAGCAATACTTTATTTACTAGGCAAATGAATCCCAATACATTTTGGTTTTTATTATCAATGATTCTAACTATAGGATAAAGTTATTAATCAATGTCTGTGTGCCAACAAGAACAAAAAAACCAAAAGTCTTGCTTTTATGCTTTTCTTATATTATTTTCCTCACTGTGAAGCATAGACATGGGCATGGAACTTAACTCATATAAAGTTTTTCTTCCAGTGAGTGACAAAAAGAAACCTGCCATGTTATCGCTGTTCACTGTGTGATGACTAACAACGTGGGGCTTTAATGCCCATTCTTATGGCTGAAGTCAGAGCTACTGAAGTCTTAAAGGAAGACTCCTTGCATATTTCAAGTTGGACACTCATAGCAAACAGTGTTGCAGGAGGGCCCACAGCCTGATACCACAGTTAACTTTTAATTTATTTACTAATTCTGCAATTATTGGAAGAAAGGTTTTCTTCTCTTTCCAGCCTCTTGCCATGTTTGGTCATATTGGAAGGGAAGGGGCAGCAGGGAGGCTGAGGCCGCAGGGAATGTGGGCTGAGCAGAGGCTATTGGTAAGAGGGAGAAGGGCTACCCACACAGACCAGCACAGGCCCCTGGCGGGCCCTCCCACCAGCACTCATGTGGGGCTGTGTAGTCACAGGCCCTCGGTCCCCTTACCCAGTGACTCTCACTGCCGTGTTAAATCTCCAGCACACTGCTGCACAGGTTCTGTGGTGACAGGAAAGACAAGTTCATTTTGGGCTGCTCACAGGCAGAACAGATACAGGGAAAGCCTTTCTTCTTTTTTTATGTTAGATATTTTATTATTTTTATTAAAAAAAAATCCTCACCTGAGGATGGAAAAGTCTTTCAACAGCTGAAGTGCACAGTGTGACAACTGAATATGCAAACTGCTTCATCAGTTCGTCTATGTGTGTCACAACTCAGCTAAAGATCAAGCTTGGGGGGTTTGAGGGATTTCAGGGCTGACCAAAAAGAGATGCGACCACCAGGTGGCGCGAGCACACACAGCTCTGTAGGGGCAACACTTGGGACTGGTTTGCATGTGGGGGATGTCCCTCACAGAATGAAAGGTCCTGTGGCTTCAGTGCCGCAACCAACATGCAGGAAGGTGAGCGGCAAGGGAATGCCCAGGGAGAGGGAGACAGGAGAGGGGCTTAGGTGTCTAAGTGACATTGCTCAGCAGCGTGGATGGGGGGTCTCTGGGTCAGGGAGCTGCGGGGGATAGCAGTGCTGGGGGTCTTTATGGTCTTGGAGTTTTCCTCACTTACGTCCCTAGCAGATGTTGGGTGTACTTGGAGTCTGGCACCAGCAGGCTTTTGAGCTAATAGGTCTTAGCCTGCTGTGAAGAGATAAACCACCTAAGGGCCAATATACAGAGGCCATCTTTGGCTCATTACAGAACACCAAGTAAATTCAACACTGCATCATCAAACTGTTCATGCTGGGCAACACGGAGCCTCCAAAAATACAAAATACGAAGCAGGTCCTTTCTACAAATTTAGTCATCAAATTTGGGTTAAAAATATAGAATAGAGGTCATTTCATAAAGAAAAAAGGCAAAATTAAAAACAAATGGCAATGAAATTCTGACACACGCTATAGTAAGGATGAAGCTTGAGGACATTATGCTAAATGAAGTAAACCTGTCACAAAAAGACAAACATTGTATAATTTCACTTACATGAGGTACTTAGAATAAACAAATTCATAGAGGCAAAAAATAGAATGGTGGTTGCCAGAGGCAGAGAGGAAGGGGGAGTGGGGAACTGATGTTTAATGGGTATGGGGTTTTATCTTCATGAAGATGGTAAAGTTCTGGAGATGGATGGTGGTGACTGTCACACAACAATGTGAATGTGCTTAATGTCCTTACCTGTCCATTTAGAAATGGTTAAAATAATTCTACCACAATAATATATAAAAAAGGAAGTGAGAGACAAGAAGATTAATGTCGACTTTCAATCAAGATGATGGAATAGGCAACCACAGCTCACTTCCTTGCACAACCACATCAAAAGTACAACTAAAATATTGAACCACCATTACTCAGAACCATCAGAAATTAGAGGCGAGTGGAAGTCTGACAACTATGGAATTAAACAAACCATCAAGTCCATCAAGACTGGTAGGAGGGGTAGAAATGTGGAATGGGCTGCTCCCACATCCACATGTGGTGGATGAAAATTCAGGAGGGATGTCTTGGGAGCGAGGAGTCCCAGCCCCATACCAGGCCCCCAAGCCCAGGGTTCCAGTGCCACGGTAACTTTCTATCACTACTGGCTGCAAAAACCAGGGGG